TTATAAAGTTGACTGAAAACATGAAAACATATTATGTTACTGAATCCTGAAAGTCATGTTTATATCAACACTAATGTATTCTAATAAAAGTAAATTATAGTGTAAATAACCCCCAAATTATTAATACTGTGTTCAACTTCATCATTCAGTTTTAGCCTGGTAGATTTTTATGTGGTAACTGATAATACTCTTTTCTCAAAAAAATGACAAGACAACACAGAAACCTCACTTAGAGCTGATAGAAACTGGCTGTTGCCTTCCACTGCAGTACTCAAATCCTTCCTGCTCCTCATGCCTCCCTCCAACTGAACAGAATCCTTTCAAGCATGTAACAGCATAAATAGAATTGCTTTCCTCTACACACTTGCTCCTATTTTAATTTGGTTGTTGTGAGCTGGAAATGGGGAAGGAGGAGGGAACTGAGGGAGGGAAGGAGAAGCAGCAGAGAGCAAAGGTGGGTTGATTTCATAGATTTCAACAAGTTAAACCTGGGAGTGAGAATAAAAATCAATGTTCTTTTTGTTTATAAAGAATTGCACCTAATCCAGGTAAAACTGTCAACAACTTAAAAGTAAGGCCGACCTTAGTTTAAAAGGAATTATCTTGTAAGAAACAGGATTTGTGAGTTTTAATTGGAAAGTTCATTTTTATGCTTCTTAAAACAAGCTCATTTATTCCTCACCTATTTAATTATTTTTTTCAGTGAGGATTGCTAGCTGGAAGCTAAAAGGGCAGTGTGTATGGGACCATAGCAATAATGAGAATCACCAGAAAGAAAATCCTGATTGTTAATGCATAGAGTGTATTAGAAATGGAATAACCATGACTGTTAAGAGGGTACTGGAATACTGTATAGAATTGTCAAATAGACTCAGGGTCCTTTTCAATCCAAATAGGATATGCGCACTCTCCAGTAATAATATCTTTTAGTGCAGGATTACTAATAGGATAAAATTTAAAATAAATGAATGTATCATTGCTTGAAAATAATTTTGCTTTATTAATAATAATCAGATATACAAACTGGCATTGGTGGAGAGCCTTCTTGAATACCATCTTCTTCAGACAATTTTTATGGTAGAACTTGCCTCAGCCACAACATTTTGTATGTTTAAATATCTTATATAATGTTAGAAATGGGAGACAAAAATAACTGTACAATTTGGGGGCATATATCTTTTCTTAAAAATGTGTTTCTGTCTCTGAAAAAGTGGGATAAAAATGTATAAAGTGAATATTTTGGTGTTTAGGTTTCATATACAAAAGATAAAATCATTCATATATTCTTTGATTTTATCTACTCCATAGACTATAATTCATAGTTCTGTGATTCATCATTTATTTAAGTCTTCATGATTCTAACATAACTGTTTTTCACTGAGGTGAAATAGGATGCTAGACCCAGTATTGTCTAATAATCTGACTTATAAAATTTTTTAAATTAATAGTTTTAAGTTGATTTATATTTTACTTACTACAAATGGTCTAACATAATTTTGGTAATAACAGGTCCATGTGAGTATCTATAACTTATTGGCATTATGGTTTTCCATGATGTAAGTTTTTACATATATATAAATATCTCTCTTGCTTTGGAGGAATATGTAAGTTGGAAAGGTGAGACTAATGAGAATGCCTAAAGCAACTTAATTTGAAGTGACATTGTTCATATCTAACCTAGCATCTTAGAACACTACACTGACCAAAATGCATAGGGACAAAAAGGGTAAATCTTTACTTTTGTCTTGTTTCATGTTTTAATATAGAAATGTCCTAGAAGACCAGGTACCTTTATGTAATATTCTCTGCTACTACAAATTTCTGTTTCCATATTAGTTTGTAGGGCTTCCATAACAAAATACCACAGATTGGTTGGCTTAAACAACAAACATTTATTTTTTCCCAGTCCTGGAGGCTAGAAGTCAAAGATCAAAGTGTCAACAGGTTTCATTTCTCCTGAGGCCTTTCTCCTTGGCTTGTAGATGACTGTCATCTCCACATGTCTTCACGTGGTCTATCCTCTGTGTGTCTCTGTGTCCTCATTTCCCTTCTTATAAAGACACCAGTCGTAATGAATTAGGGCCCACCCTAATGACTTCATTTTACCTTAATTACCTCTTTAAAGGCCCTATCTCCAAATACAGCGATATTCTGAGGTACTGAGGGTTAGGTGAGAACTTCAACATATGTATTTGGGGTGTAGTGAGG